CCCAACCACTTGCGACAATATTCACTTATGATGGGTCATTATATGGCCATTTGGCGTTTCGAAGTTGTTGGCGATTGAATGGGGCTTAATTTATTGTTCCTCGGCGGCTATGGAAAAGTAAATGTCTGTGGTTGGTCGTGATTCACGTTGGTTTGGGTACAATTTTAGTAGACATTAATTTCGCCAATGTACTAGCCAGGAATGGTCGTGACTTGTTATACATTTTCATTGCCATTCATGATTAATCAATCTATTGGTATTTGATTATGACTTTGGCGTGAATAAAAGGTTTCTATTGATGCTTTGAAACACACACTTAAAAAAATTCATGTAAATTTAGGTGCTCTAAGACTGACATATACGAGCGTCATTTTTGACATAAAATTGAGTCGTAATAGACGCAAAACTCAGCTCAATCAAACGTACTTTTCGTCGAGTACCGAACTTTTCAGTCTCGGAGCACTTAATTTTACATGACATGTTAGTTTACGTCTCATCCTGTATGTCAAAGATGGATTCCGTCACGTGTAAAATTAGGTATTTCTAAGTGTGCATGTATGAAATACGTGTTTGAATAAAATTAGTAAATTACCGCTGAGTGAATTGCAGTAGCATCTAGATATTTAAGATTGTATTAAAACTCTTGTTCCTGGTCAAATGGCCAAAAAAAATTGACCTCTCATAATTCCACGACTCTTCGCAAACTTGTTCGCTTGCACACTACGAAAAAGACATGTAAATTTCAGTGCCCTGAGACCGACACATGCAAGCGACCCCTTTGACATAAGAATCAGTTGAAAAGGACGAAAAAATTAATTCTATCAAACGCACTTTTCGTCGAGTTGCATATGTTTCAGTTTCAGGACACTTTATTTTACATGCCATGTTTGTTTACGTTCCATGATTTACGTCAAAGCTAAATTACGTCTCGTGTAAAAATAATAATTTCTAAGTGTGTGGGGCAATGAACCAAGTAAGATAATTTACGTATTCTCGTCAAGCTAAGCAGCGTCTGCACTATTAGAAATTTCTCAGCGTCACGCAAACGTGTTTGTTTGTTTACAATAAATCTGCTGCTTGCTAATCTATCCATTTCAACCGGCAGAATTATCCAAAATATACGCTGAATTACAGTTCGAGTTAAAAGAAGATCCACTCCAGTAATAATTCCTCCTTCAAAATCTTGGTAATTTCCCAGTACAGTACTATAGCCGATCGTTCACCACTGTAATTTAATAACTCGATTGGTGGTTTGTCAACACCAGCGGGTTTATTATTTTTCAACCGATCGATCTCGTCCTCGACTGAGGCCAGGACCTGTTGTCTTCTGCACGTGCTCATATATCTGTTACCGTTCTACCTATATTATCTGCAGAGTAACCGTCATAGTTCTGCTTCCACCTTTCGATCACCACACTATTTTTCCTATGCCTCCTACCCCAGCCGGTACCACACGAAGGTCCGGATATAAGTTATTGGACAAGAGGAGTAAATTGAGGTCTATTAAATTTATACTAACAGGTATGCGAAGTACCATTGATACGCATTGTCCAGCCGTTTACTAGCCGTCCTGAATAGGGTTTTAGTCGTTAACGTCAGCGTTAACGTCATTAAGAACCTTGGTCCTTAGCATTAGCATTGTTATGAATTAATTGACATCGACAGTATGAAAGGAAGATGTTCAGTTATGGGTTAATTTTCCGACTGTTGGTAATTTATAAATTGGATTCTCGGATATGCAGTCTGGCGGTAGAACAGTAGTTCTATATCTGCCCAACGTTTCGGTTGTGTTACCAGTTCGCTAAAAAATATCGAGCATCACTTCACCTAATTTTTCTGTCGTATGAGATAAAATAGTGATGAATTAGATAAATCATAGTAAATACAGGTTCAGATTCAAACATAATTAAATTAAACTCTTCATAAATTTGAACTTTCTCATAAGCATTAGAGAGATCTGCAGGAGAAGGGTCCCTGGCTCGATCTCCCCCTCCCTTCCAAAATTCACCCCCATAGCACGATATCCTCTATAACTCCATGGCCCCTTTAACTGAATACCACTTGTGAACAATTTGCTCAGTATAGTAAATATTTGATCAAGCGATTATAGGTTCCAGAAATAACTTAAAAACAGCCTCTTAGGGGCCCTCACCAGCTTGGTGACCCTGTCCCTTACCGTTAAGATGGCCCTTAACACCATTATTTTCGAGAAACTTTACCCTACCTGATGGTTATGTTACTTTGCGTGGGCTAGCTAAGAGTTTTGATTAATTTACATTTGAATTTTGACAAAATCAGATACGTCATTTTTAAAGTTACTCACTGTTATAGGGGAAATGACAAGGCTTCGGAATTATCAAAAGAAAAAAAAAAGTTTCGGAACTTCTTTACCTATTATCGAAAGGACTCATATTCCAGAGTATCGTTTTGCTAAAAATGAATACTCTTAGACTTAATTTATCCCCTGATCATGAACACAGTTTTGACACTTCAGTGAGCTTGTTTACATGGATCTAGATTTTTCTCGTTGGCATCGATATGAGTTTTGTGCTCTATAAAATATTACGGTGTAGCAGCCTGAAGGCACTTGCTAATTTACATGAGTTTTAAAATCGAAGCGATCACAATCTAAAAATCACAATTTTAAGTTCTCTAAAGTTCTAACACCTTGTAAGCAAGCTTCTTGAACTGTAAAAAGTGAATTGAAGTGAATTTTAAATGCACAATACTTTATCTGTAAATGACTCGCAAACAAGTGAAATGACTCATTCAATGTGTGGTTGTATTTATTACATCCTCTGCATATGCTTCATACAATAAATGTAATGGTATAGCTCTTGCAAAACAGTTCAGCGTATAAGCAAGTTTTTTCAGAATGCATATTTGTGTATAAAACATTTACGAGATGACTTTTCTGGACGCAATGCATTTGAGGAAATAAACTTTTCATGCAAATATGTACTAGAATCATACATTTTCTGCTTGGGTGTAGAATTCACTTAGACACAAGTTATTTAATTCGCAAGACAATCTACTTCAAAACGCTCATCGTAAGTGGAAGTGGAACTGTGCGTACTCAAACGTTGCCCATACACACAGCCTTCAAGAACTACAAATGTCGCCCCTTACCCTTACTCTCCTCACTCAATAGCAACCACTTAACGAAATAGTATTCAAATGCCAAGAGTTAACCATATTCGTCGCTCAATTCGGCTGACGTTGCCTTTATTCACGCCTTAAATCAGCTCCATAAAAAGTAGGCAACCTACCTTGAAACGTGACTGACTTCCATTGACTCTTTGCTCACAGCCTGGCATGCGAGTGAGCAAACTGAAAAGGGGTATCCATGACGGCAGCATCAGCTGACAGGGCATTCGGCGGATGGCGGTGACGGCAGCAGCGTTGTGGTCCTCGATCGTGAGTGGCGTACTCCTCTAGCGTTTTGGGGTGATTAAGTAATCCTCGTTCGATTCCTGCTTCGAAATACCTACTCTTCATTAACACCTTGGTATGTTTCCGCTCCGGTTACTGAGAGGAGCAATTGACGGGTTAGTGCTATGGGAAAAGGCGGTGTTTTGATCGGTAATAATGTTGGTAATGGCCAATGCTTAATATATACTTTCACCAAGATGGTTTTGGTAACCGCTAACTACATAGTTGACGCAAATGAACCGGATAGTCTAGTAGGTCTATGGGATTGCTTAATAAACCATTCAGTTTCCTGTTGCGTTTGATGATTTATTTGAGGGCCGGTTGGGATACAAATATTGTTTTATGTTTTGGCCTGGATAATTTATTTAATTGTGCTTTATGAACTTATGGAATATGCAAATATTTGGACCAATGGGATAAGTTATGTAATGCTGAAGAGCGCGAGTGCTTCTTACGTTGGATTTAGTATGACGATGCAACGAAGATTTAAGTAAAATTTCAAAACCGTCTTGGAGAAATTCCCTGGCAAGCTTTGCAAACGATATTTATCTTGAATCACCTAATTGCAATCGAAGGAAACGAAATTAATTTTAATCAAGAAAGTCAACAACTTAGGACTAATGTTCAAAAGTTGATTGTGATATCCAGATCTTTGAACGATGGGGAACTAATTACCGCTGTCTCCGCAAGCAATGTGTTTTTCCTATAAACGGGAATAACATAATTTGAGTTTTGTGGATCACACCTGGATTTGTACTTTGTTGCGGTACTGGAACGAGCCTTAGCCAGTGATATTAAAATGTATACTTCACGAAGAGCAGATGTACCAGTTATGGCTAGTTGTTGCACTATCCCATACACGCAATGGTAACAGCTATAGCACTACGTTAAATTAACTCTATGGGCTATAACTGGTACACCACCCCTAATTCCATCTCACAAATCTTAAATTCTGGCATTAATGTCTAACGCTTTTCGTCTGTTTCCATTTACAGGTAAAATCACTCTTGATAATCTCAAGCAACAACACAACAACCAATGGTAAATTATACTAAATCTTCGCTCGGGACCATGTGAAATTACTTCATCGCTTAAGATTATTTACCTCAAAGCACTGCACGTGGATTGGAACAGAAAAAAAGCAAACCATCGCAAATGTACAAAAACACGAGCTTAAAAAAAACGATGCATACTGTGAGTGATTACGTGTTTGGCAGTTTTTACCAGATTCAATTCGGATGAATGCAGCCAGAAATTAGACACGATACAGTTTCTCAAGTGGAGCTCATCTTTGAAGTTCGTGCTTGCGTGTCTGGATCGAAAATCAAATCAAGTTAATTTCCGCAGTTCCAACAGAGTGTTTGCCAACCTGTACAATACAGGAAGATGGCTCAAAACAAAGATGCAGAATCTTCAATCGGCTTGGGTGAAACAGCTTAATAGCAGTGGAACCGGTGAAATAAGCAGCTGTCAATCATAATATTTTTTCCGTAAATCTTCCACGATTATCGAGGCACCGAGGTACAATTAAAACACTCAAGATGACCATAAAGTCAGATGAAATATACCTGCGCTTGCAATTGACAGTCTGTTGCGAAACAGCTTGTAGGTATTCGTACGAAATGATTGGATGGCGACCCGCGTGTGACTGACGACAGTTTAGCATCTTCGCACTTCGATAAGTCGTTTATTCGCTTGTTTACCTCCGCAGTTCCGTGAAGTTGTTTTGTATGGTTGAGCGCCATTGCAAGCTGTTTCCGACCAGTTGTATCGTTTTCGCGCGGTTCCGAAGATGTAGCAAGACAACCAAACAAGATAGGATAATTAGTATGTGATGAATACTAACTTCGAAACTTTCTCTGTTGATCGACTGGAATATAATGGAAAATGTGATGCATTGTCTTTCATTGAAGTAAAGTTGGCCTTTCAGTGTTATTCAACTAATCAACGTGATTAATCAACTTTCATGTACCGTAAGATGGGGTGACATTGAGCCAAAATCGAAGAAAACAAAAATCATTGATGCTAATATCTTGTATACAGAAAACGATGACTAGAATATGTTTCTTGAACTCCTGAAGTAAAGTGTAGATAACATTGACCCCGGAGATGAACCAGCGTCTGGCTGAAAATTTCCTTAATAAAAACAACCAACCAACCAACCAACCAGCTAACATTAACCAGTTGTTTTATTTGAATAGTGCTGTTACGTTAAATGTCATAAATCATAGCTAAAAATACGTTTTTCAAACAAACAACGGCCATACATACGAAGTACATTGTGATCATAGCCAAGTGTACTCCTCAGTCTTGTAAGCGATCACCGTAGTCGACACATTTTCTGTGATAATCGACTGCCTTTGCTTCCGTCAGTCGCAAAACAAGCTGTCGAATTACAGTAGCAAACAAAAATGTCATATGACAGGCTCTGTCATACGACACTGTCGCCAAAGACCGTCACGAATGTAAGTATTTTAGTTTTTCTCGTAATAAGAGCTGCTGATGTTGTGCTTGTGTGAATTCTGATAAAAGCAAGCAACGATATCCTAGTAAAAACATTTTTGATCAGAAATGGTTTAATTTACACCAAATTGAGGAATTAGAACGAAATCACACACGTCATATGATAGTTATTTGATAATTTTCTTTTTGCTCGAATGTTGTTCTACCGCTACCGAGAGATGACGGCAGAGCGTACGAATACAAACAGACTGTCGCGCACGACAACGAAGCGAGGGGAAGGGAAGTAAAGCCGTTGGAACCCGGTTCATGAGTTGATGGGTCGATAGGTAGGGTCCAGGTGTGGGAGCTGCCCCCCTGGCGTCGGTCGCATTAGTGCTCAGCACGGAAAACAATTAAGGAAAAAAATCAAACATTTCCATGACAGTCGTTAATATATCATTGAAGAATATATTCACACACACTTAGAAATAACTAATTTTACACGTGACGGAATCCATCTTTGACATAAAAGATGAGACGTAAATAAACATGTCATGTAATGTGCTCCGAGACTGAAAAGTTCGTTGCTCGACGAAAAGTACGTTTGATTAAGCTATATTTTCCGTCTGTTATGACTAAAATTTATGTCAAATTGACGCTCGTATTGTCACTCTCAAAGCACCTAAATTTACATGAATTTTTCTAAGTGTGCATGCTTAAAATTGTTTTGCTAAAATGTGAATATCCAGTGTTCACTCGGCTGTCGACAGAAGCAGACCACTCTCGATGTGTGCCACACGATCGTCTGTTTTCTCGGCAGCAACCATTGTGTGGTCCTCCTCATTGTTCTTCATCAGCAGTTCTTTCAGTCGATGCGTCGTCGACTTTGGAAAGCAACCGTTTCGTGATGAGTGTGTGAGTGCTGACCACGTTTTGCGTCCATTGCTGCAATGGACGCGCTCTGACCCTCGTTGGCGTACAACAATTTGCCATACAATGAAACTACTGGATGCGGCTCCAGTTCTGATGGAAGAAGCTTTTTGGATAGCGGAAGATAAAGTGTTTATTGTGTTGTACCTTTTGACTATATTTTTAAGATGTATTGTATAGTGACCAAGAATCCTCGGCTCTGTAAAGTTAATTCGGTTGAGCCTTATCAAATAAATTAATAAACAAAAAAAAAAAAAAAAAAATGTGAATATTGTAAGGTAGGGAACGAAATTTTTTGAGTTTTTGGTCCATTGTCACCCCCACATACGGTACATTGAATTTTCAACCAAATGCTAGTTTGCGTGCTTACGTAGGCGGTGGATTTCATAATACAGTCAACTTTCCATAAATTCTATAACCCGATGGATTCAGCGGTCCCTTAATTTTCCACGTATTGTACTTTTCAGAACGATGACACCTTGGGTCGATGTTGTGTGTAGTGTTATTTCTAGATGAATATTTAAAAAGGTCCTATCTGATTTGATAGATTCTCTTAATTGACTTTCTCTTTCATTAACAACTTAGCTGCAAAAACATTGCCTGTTGTGTTTGATGTTTTGGACACTATATAAGAACCTCCTTTATCAAACTATGAGGCAAAAATGGCACGAAATCCGTCTATTCATGAGTTGATGGGTCGATAGGTAATGTCCAGGTGTGGGAGCTGCCTCCCTGGCGTTGGCAGCATTGATGCTCAGCACGGAAAACAAGATCGACGGAAAACAAATAAAAAAAAGGACCAGTGCTGAACATTGTTGCATAAGTTTGAGTTAATATGACGACCATTGCAACATCATCATCAAAATGACGTGCGGCAAAACAAAAACTGTAACTATCACACGAGTTTTATTCATTGCTGATAATCAGTCCGTCATTTTGAATCGACGGTCAAAGCATGTTGCTAGTCATCTCACTATGATCGTCAAGACAAGAAATACCATGTCACTATGGTTTTTAGTGTAGGACTCTCATCCTGTTCATTTTATAATAGTGCTTTGTTCCATGAAGAATAGCCGTCTGGATTTTAATCAACTTAAACAATGCATAAGGTCCTATCTACATTGATCGATTCTCTTAGGGGTGATGCATATATTATGTCACGCTCGAATGAGGTTTAGGAAGAACGTGACAAAGGGGCGGGGGGGGGGGAGGTGAGTATATTTTTTCAGTTTAGTTTAGCGGGACATTATTAGAGAATGGCCACTCAATTATTTTCTCTTAGATCATCATGGCCATGTGAAATCGTTTCGGGCTGTTTTCGACAAACATTTCGATAGAAGAAGCTATTATTTAGCAACGAACACGACAAAAAGCGGTTTTTGATATGTAATTGATTTGAATGGTTTTCCAAAAGCCATATTGGTACTTCAGTAATTATTTTTAAGTGAAATGTATTTTAATTGGTCATAAAAGTGGGCTCTATAGGTTCCCAGATGCTGAAGTCACCTCGTTGGCAATCGATTTCCATAGATTATAAAACAGCGATGGGCAATGGGAACACTGGTGATTCGAAGAGAAGGATTATAATAATGCAAATTATAATAGAGTTCCCACATGAAAAAAGTACAAAGAAGTATTAAATAACATATAAAGAATCGCCAAGTGTGTTGCTTTGTTGTAGTAAATGATCCTCTTTAGATCCTAGAAAGACAAGTTAGTTTAAGGCTTTTGTAAGGAATAGTGAAATGGTTATTATTTAGTTATCATTTTATTTTATCAGGATTAAGGTTTTGGGAGTTTGCTTGCTACTTTAGAAATGTGAATTTTCAATCTAGACATTTTGACATTCCAGCAATTTTTTACCATTCACAGCAGTTCAGCGGATGGTTGCGTTGCGTGACATGTTTCAAGAATCAATCGATGTAATGGAAATAGGCACGTATGTGCAACTGTTGGCATCAACAAGACGCTTAGTAATCAATCGCGACAATAATATTGATATCCGGTGATCCTGCAACACTCAGAATTGAAGCAATACCCGTTGTGCAGTAGATTCAAATGTTTAGGTTGTTTTTTCATTAGGGAGGCCTCCAGCCTGGGGTTCGTTCCCCTCCGCGGTAGATTAAATTGAACTTTAAATGATTCAATCATTTGTGATTATATTGAACTGCACACACATCTGGTATTTTTTTGGTAGGAAAAAAATCTATCATGAACCAGAACCATTCATGTGATTAAATTTTAATACTTGACAGTATTATTGTGTGTAATTGTTCATATAATAAATTTAATATTATTAATTAACTATGCAGAACTTCTTTAGGGGAAGAGGAAGGGGGTTGGTTCATACACACTTCCCTCAAGGGGGGGAGTATAAAACATCTCAAAACGGTCTACGTAGTTTATAAACAGCCTCTAGGGCCAGATATTACAACAAATGGAATTATTCGGGGTTGTACTAAAAATTATGGTCGTAGTTTTGTTTTGTTTTTAATTTAACAAGTCGATAATTTTATAACTCGATGGTCCCTTTGACATCTTATTATGAAGAGTTGACTGTAATCAATCGACGATAATTTGAATTTTAAAATTTTAAAAGATATTTAATTTTTAGTAGCCAGGTTTTTTTGTCAAATTTTTAAAAGTGCATGAACTCGTATTCATCGGTGCACTCATCAATAGTGTTTGCCGTTGTGTGTCGAAGTTAATTGATATAACCATATACTGTTTGGATCAATGCTAGAGATCCCGTACTCTTGTATTTTTTTTTCAAGATCCACGCCTAAGAAGAACTTTCAAGCTTTTGGACCATCAGCCTTAGAATTTTCGGTATGCCGAAGCTCACTTGAAGTACTCTCACATGGTAAGGTATAGCTGTTTGAAGACGCATGTTTGTGCATTACATAAAACTACTTATTTAAACTACAAATCCTTGAAATAGTCAATGTAGTGTGTAGACATACCAGTTATGGTTATGGTTATGGTTTTCATCATTTCAATACAAGGTTTCACTTATTATCTGCCATAACACAAACAAGAATTGAAATCAGTTTTTGAAAACATTTCTCGTTAAGGACTTCACTGCAATGCAGCGTCAATCCCTCAATTAAGATTAGATTCAAAATTAACACTGACACTGACGTTTACGTAGCATTGAACGTTGAACATTGAATTCAACAACACCTTCGAATAGGGGAAATTCTGATGTTGTTAGTTTGCAAAGGCTGATGGACCCTTATCTATTGTTGGTTGTGATTTGTTCAACTATCCAGGCTTGCTATTTCCTTACACATT